ATATCGACACACTATCTAAGCGTATTAAGCGTACAGCATTATCTTTGACGAAAGTAAAAAAATATTCAAATTTTCACTTTTCTATGAAATGCCTATGCTCATCCGTAAACTTCCATTTTTCTGTTTTCTTTTCAGTCATGCTTATGGAACAAAAATTTAAAAGTAATTATTTTTAACTTTAAATAACAAAACTCTAATAACACCATTTAGACAATTATATTGCACTCATGAATTTCAAAAAACACAAGAATTGCTAAAATTGCTAGTTAACAGGTTACCGGTCTGACTGACTGTGTGGCAGGTTGGGATTCACGACTGCAAGCGTTTATAGCCGATGCCAGAGGACCTTAGAAACAATATGTTTGTTATAGTATCATGCGATATAACTATATTTCCCTTTCACTGTCCCCCCAAGAAGTGTGTCTGTTATAATTAGCCAAGATTAAATTTCCAGACTCCTCGGATGTCATCAAAATATAAATTATAACAAAGATAAAAATAAAACAAATAACTACATTTAATAAAGAAGACTGAAGATTTCTCAGTAAAATTAGAACGTACTAATAATATTGTCCATTATGCACATTAAGCATTCCATTTTTTGTGAATGTAGCTTTGTCCCAAAACAAAATGTATCTGAGAAAATCTTGATTTTGATTTTTCTGATTTTGTAACCATCTAGCGAATTCCTCACAAGCAGGAAAATTTTTTTGTAGCAGTACTTGTAATTTTGTAAAATGAAAAGGGTATAAAATTTTCGTTGTATAAAATATTTCCCACGAAAGATTTTGAAATTGTGGGATACAAAGCAGATAGTTTTCGGACGCTAATTTCTTAATTTTCCTCAACTTCTGTTACAATATCTCCAGGTGCTGCTGTTACATCATCATGTCGTCCATTATTTTTTGGGATCACTTACCTGTGTCTTTCAATTGTTGATAAAGAGCTGTTAGTGCTGAGTGAGTGGGATCACGAATGGGAAATTTTTCAGGTTATTTAAGTTCTGCTGCTAGAGCGTTACACCTTCATCACCCAGCCCTTTGCGTCTATTGCTGGATATAGGCTTTCTTCATTGTTGTCCATTGTGCTCTATATTGAGCACTTTTCATTAAATTTCTTGACATTTTCTTGAGATCGTCAGTCCAACGGGTAGGGGGTCTTTCTCTACTTCTGTTCTCTAACATCGGCCTCCACTGAAGCAATATCTTCGTTCACCTTTTATCACTGATTTGGGCGACGTGTAGGGCTCAGTTACCTTTCAGTGTGGCAATTCGAGAAATTACATCGGTAACTCATGTTCTTAGTCGTAAGTCTTTATTTCTAACTCGATCACAAAGCGATATACTTAGCATTGAACTTTCCATTTTTCTCTGAGCTATTTGCAGTGTTTTAGAACTTTTAGGTGTCAATGTCAAAGTTTCGGCACCATACCTCATCACAGGCAACACACATCGGTCAAATGTTTTAATCTTTTACGTTTTAAAGTAATTGGTATATCGCTTTTAAATATGTCTTTGAGTTTTCCATAGACTGCCCATGCTAGGTTTATTCTTCTTCTAGTTCGCATGTTTGGTTGTCTCTTGTGATCTTTATTTCGTGTCCAAGATATACCGGGTGGTGAATCGTCAAACGGGCCATAGGAAACTCAATGAGAAATTTTAAATTATTGAATTGCTGCTTCCCTAATTATTTTAGATGAAAAGTCATCAAAAACTATTTGTAGAGGACTAAAATCTGAATTAAAAACAAATGTTAAAACCGTTCTACGAATCAAATGTACTTCAAAATTTTGCAAAAATATAATACATTTTTCAGGCCACCCCTAAAAGTTAGGCCACACGTAATGCAAGAATATATATTAGGACGTGTGTGTTTTATCATATTGATGTCAGATATTTGACAATTTGAATTGTCAATTTTTTTTTTATTTTATGATTAAATTATAAACAATGAATTTTACTAAATACTACTACTAATGAACATTATTACTTTGTGAACAATAAATTATATTGTTTACAAATCTACAAATCGATCAATATAATGAAATGTACTCAGTTGACGAAAAATCGCATAATGTTGTATTCAGCCAATAGCGCGAACCTTTTTCTGCCACTACCGGATCTTTATTTAACGTAAGATATTCTAATTCACTAAAATTTAATTCCATGTTGTTAAGTTATACAACAATTCAATGAATTCCAATATACTGTTACTGTGATCTTAATTCCTAATAATAATATATGATAATTTCTAAACATAAAACTATAACAAATGTTATAATAAAACATGGATAAAACATTTTTATTATTGCTTTTTTCTCCTCAACTGAGTACATTTTTTAATCAACTTATTTTTTTTTAACAATAAATCACAAAATTTTGGCCATTTAAATCATAGATAAAATTAATATAATTGATTTAAATATTGTCAAATATCAGAAACAATAATATGACAAAACGCAACACGTAATACACATTTTTTCACAGAAAAATGTATTATATTTTAGCAAAATTTTGGCATACGTTTAAGTCGCAGAATAATTTTAACAGTTGTTTTCGATACATATTTAAGTCCTCTACAAATAGTTTCCCATGACTTTTGGTGTAAAATAATTAGGGAAGCAGGAATTCAACAATTTAGAATTTCCCATTGAGTTTCCTATGGCCCGTTTGACGATTCACCACCCTGAATGTATTTTTCCATCAGCTCTACTTTGATGTCTCCAATATTGATATTTACGCTAGGTACTAGGTTTGTCATGAATTTTGTTTTGGAGATGTTTACTTTAAGATCCACACTGACACACACCAACTGAAGTTCATGTAGCATTGTACATATCTCCTTGAGGTTGTCCGAGAACAAAACTATGTCTATGACTTTCAAATTTGTTAATTTTCTACCGTCAATGTTCAGGCCTTTCTCTTTCCAGTTAAGTTTTTTATAAACATATTTTAGTACTGCGGTGAACAGTTTAGGCGATAAGGTATCACCCTGTCGGACTCCTGTACCGATTGGAAAATGATCCGTGTTTTAATGTAGTTTCACTGACATAGTTGCGTTCTTGCATGTATTTTAAATATTAACCTTGTATATCGGTAGTGATTGTGGCATGCTTGTAGTGTTTCCATGATTTTATCAAATTCTACCGTGTCAAAAGCTTTATGGAAATCTACAAAAGCCAGAACGAGTGGTCGATTGTATTCGATAGTCTTTTCTATTACCGTTTTAATGCTCTGTAGGTGATCATTGGTTCCAAATCATGCTTGCTCTATTGGCTGGTAGAAATCAAGTTTCTTCTTAAGACGATTCATTACTATTCTTGTACAGTGTGTATAGGTGACTAAGAAGACTTATAGGTCTGTAGTTTTCTAAATCATGGGAATCTCCTTTTTTGTACAATAGAATTACCCCAGCATTGTGCCATTTCTCGGGTATATTACTGTCCAAAAGGCACATGTTAAAAAGGTTTTTTATTTTTTTATGTAGGCAAGTGCCTCCCATTTTGATTACGTCAGTAATTATACAATCTTCGCCTGGAGATTTGTTATTCTTAGCTTTTCTTAGGGCTAGTTTTATTTCGTCCATTGTGATTTCCGGTAGTAAATCTGATCCTTGGTTGACAATGCCCTTTTTCCTTGTTAATATTTCTGGTTGTTAGACCTTATTTTGCCCCAAACTAAAGTGTATCAGCGTATTCCTTATTAGTAAAACCATTGTTGTTAAATTTAAATTGTTATATTTAATTGCCACAAAGAAAAAAACTAAAAGATAAACTTCTCAAACTGACCAAAATTTGACAATGAAAACGTAGGTTATATTTCTATTGGCAGATCCACGGCCAACTAGTGGAAAAAACATTAATTTAACTTTCATGAGGAAAAACGAAACATTTTTACATCCACTTTTCAAGAAAATGGTGTATCCTATCGACTTAGACTAAGACTACCTTTTAGAACTAGAATACATGAAAATTTTATTTTATTTTATTTTTTATTCTAGTATTAAGAACGTTTAAAACATAAAAGCAAAATAATTATGCGTTAAAATAACCGTTGACCCAAAACGGACGCCTATAATGGGTACTAGAAATTAGCAATTGATGAAATCGATTCATCTTTGGAGGATAAATAATCGCACCAGTTTTAGTTTCTCTAAATATAAGCGTTCTGAAGATATTTAAGAACAAACTAATTATAAGGTGCCATCTTCAAAAAGCTCTAGCTCTCTTAGAAAGCATTTTCAGACTAGGTGAATTGGTTTACATTGTGTTAAAATTATCTAAGCAATCTCCGGTCTTCGTTTGTCAGAGTTTCTGGACACTGTATAATATATTATTATTATCTTATAATAATTTATATTAGTGTTTATTTTTATTTTATAGTGGTTTTTATTTATATTTTATAAAAATATATTGATGGAAGAAAGTCGTTAAAATAAATTAAATTTTAGAAATGCTTGAAACATGTTTAACTGGCCGCAAGCAGCCCGCGAGTCGTGTGTTGCTCATCCCTGGTCTAACATTTCTTCAATAATTTACGGATTATCTTCTTCCATCTGTAGTAAATTTGTTCAGTTTGTTCTTGTAAGTGCTCGTATACATACACTCCACAATATTGGTGGGTTTGAATGTACTGTATGGGGAATAATTTTAGTAAATTCATTCTTTTAGAGCTTCAGACAGTTAAATCAGATTTGACTTTGAATGACCTAGGTTAAACTTGTTTTAGACCATTTTATTTTCTTTATTGTGTTTTCGAGAAAAATCTGATAATAATTTATATAAAAGTTGTGTTTTTTAATATTTATTTTGAATGCCTTAGATGGGTATTACCAAGTGTCCGAAAGTTCATCCAATGCTTCTTGTAAGACTTGCTTTTTTACGTTTTTTATGGCTCAAAATTATACATTAGAAAACAAATTTATTACTTTGTTTAGAAATATATATTTTAATTATAGTTTAATACCAATACAAACATATTTAAAATATACATCAATTTTAGATCTGTGTTCTGGTATATCCATACAATTTTTCATTGCTGGATATGAAACAACTAGCAGCGCAATTTCTTTTACTCTCTATGAGTTAGCTAAACAACCAGATATTCAAGAAAAGTTAAGAGAAGAAATAAAGTCAGTTGTAAAAAAGCATGGCGATCTTTCTTACGAAGCTGTTCATGACATGCCGTTTTTGGAGATGTGCCTTCTCGGTAAGGAAAATTTTATAGTTTTTATTCTTAAATTTTTAACTTATTAAAGAAAATTTTTGTAATCAATAACTGTAATTAAAAATACAATGTGCAATAGAATAAAACATTCTAAATGTGAAAATTAAGCTTTGTGAAGCAGCAAAATACGAAAAGCCAAATAGATATTTGTGAAAAAGGTGCAAAAAGTAACAATAAGTGAATTCAACGCGAGGTCAAATTTTCACGTCGTACCTTTGAAACCGTAATATATGAGAATAAATTATATCAGTGGCGGCTTTTGTGGGTAGGCAGGATAGGCCGGGCCTACCCAATAATTCTAAGAACTTTAAAATTGAAAAACATATATGCAAACATTATGTTAATGCATGTAAATAAGTTTTAAATGTACTAAATCACTCAAGACGTTAACATTCGTTAAAACAACTACGTTATTATATTACCACAGAAAGGATCGAATCGTATTCAAGCATTTTAAATATCATTAATAGGCCCGATCGGAACTGGCCGACCCAGCTCAGATAAGATCCGCAGCTTGCCGGACAACGATTTTTATTGTCGTCTTTAGGATTGCTGTTTAGGCACCAGACGATCGGGCTTACGCCGACCATAGTTTTTACTTGTAACCTAATTATATAATTGTAATATAAATATTTAATTAATTTTAATTGTAATTATTATATTTAATTGTAATTTAAATTATGATAAACAAATATGTAACATAATCTATAACAAAAAAATGTGTTGTATGAGAACGCCATAAATAACTCAACATTTTATGCATGCATTCTTGATGAAACAACCGATATTACTGAAAGGGGACAATGTTCAATAGTATGCAGATTAGTAAATACAAAAGGCGTTGTTCAAGAATATTTCTTAGGTTTTTTGGTCTAGGGGAAGACCGAAGTGCTCCAACGTTACGTGACTTACTGTTTAGTGTAATTGGTAAATTTTACTGTAAAGCTAAATTAATTGCTCAAACCTACGATGGAGCTAGTGACGTGTCGGGACAACTTAATGGACTTTAAAAATTAGTGAGAGATTCTGCACCATTAGCAATATTTACCCATTGTTTCGCTCACCGCCTCAACTTACTTTTACAGCAAAGTTGCTCCAACATAACAAAAGTCAAAATCTTATTCTCAACGCTTCAAGGTATTGCAGCTTATTTTCACCAATCAAAATATTTGAAAAACGAATTACCACAAATAGTGAAGTAAGATGGAATTCAAATGCAAAAGTAGTATATGCTGTGTCACAAGAAATGAAAAAGTTGTTACAAGTATTTCAGGATATAATAAATTGCACAGAATCAAATGCAAAATCAATTAGGCAGGCAGATAGTTATAAACGTAAGTTGGAGGATTTGGAATTTGCATTTTTATTAAATGTTTTTAGTGATATATTTCAACAAACTGAGCTCTTATACAACATCTTGCAGAAGAAAATAATGATGTTCAATGGTGTGTCAATTCAGTGTCCAGATGTGTTGCAATGTTAAAGAGCTGGAGAAATGACCTTACATTTTCCAACCATTTCAATATTGCTGTTCGTGAAACAAATTCTAAACCCATCTTAAGTCGTAGTGAACTAGATATTTTACCTGGTAGTTCATCTAATAACGGGGATCAAAGTTTTTTGGAGAAAGTTAAAACTAAGTTTAGAAGGATCTTTTTTGAGATTTTGGAAAGTATTATTACTCAATTAGAGCAACGTTTCTCGGATTACAAAAAGTTTCAATAACCGCAATTTGGCGATAATAAAATATTCACAGAATATGGCGCTAAATTTACTATGTAATTTGCTGGCTTGGCCTACCCAAAATTTTACCACACCAGCCGCCACTGAATTATATTAGCGTAATCTTACGGTAATAATTACATTATTACAAGCGTAGGATAATATAAAAAGCGTTGAGTTAAAAAAATTTTTATAGAAAATTTACACTATTGATTAGTATCGAATAAGGAGCTAATATGTTAGGAATCTACTACCATTTGCACCATTATTATTAACCCTTAGCTGGTCCGGTACTGTAGCAGCAGCGTAACTGGTCCGGCGTAGTCTGCGAAACTACTGTTTTCAAGAAAGCAAAACAAACACTCAAAAATAATTTTTTTATTGAGAAAAATGTTACAATACAAACAAAAATATAAAAAACACTATTAAAAAAAATGCTATCAAAATTTCTAGGATAATTGTTCAAACTGCACACTAAACAAAAAACTAGGTAAAACAAAAATTGATCAAAAAGGTTTCTTTCTGTCATCTTCTGTTGCATCAATCAAACTTTACCCATTTTACATGCAATTTTTACAAAGTGGTTTTGGTAATTCCAGATAAACGCTCTTTATCTCGTGGCAAAGGCTTTTTGCAACGCAAGCACAGGTATTTTGTCATCCTGCTATTTCTACTCGGACAAAAACTGCAAATCGTGCGTTTTTCTAAAATAAGAACAAACGTCTGATTCTCCTCTTGTTCTTCTTGAACTCCAAGTATCTGGCTAATTGTAACGTGGTTGACATGGAATGTTCGTCATTGTCACTTGTCTTTTCATGTGAACTTGCACTAACTGCATAGCCAACTCCAAAGCATAAACACTTATTTCTTTTATTACTTGATTGTTTTTGTAACACTGATGTAGAATATATGAATTTGCTATAGAAATGTCCAATATCCGGAAAAAATTGTTAAGGGCCATCTTCGGGTTCGACGGATTGAGGTGCTTTTTTGTCATCTAGGGAATCTACACTCTTATTCTCATTATAATAAGAAATAATGTCTGGTTTTTCAGTAGAGGGATCACTATAACGTCTACTATACATTGAAGATATAAGTACTGTAGCCTTTCCCACTTTTCCTATATGAGAAGTTAAGGTACATTCTTCCCTAAATCCATAAATTGTTGACCGTTCAGGTCTGTTTATGTCGGGCAGAAAACATGGAGGTATTTCAACTTAATTTTTTTTCAGTGTGCCCACATAAGTCAAGTTTTTCGTTCGTAAAATATTCACTAATTGAATAGAAGAGTACCAATTATCAGCTGTGATATTTCGGTTGCTACCAAAGAGCGGTTCAGCTAAGCACAACGCAGCTTGTGTAGGTTTTAGAAATTTTTTATACTCGTCACTAATATCAAATCCATCTGGTTTTTTTTGCGGTAGATAAAGTATTATACAAATAACCATTACGTGCATCTATAAGACACTCTATTTTGAATTCGTATTTAGCCAACATGTAATTTTAAACCGGCATTTACCTCGAAAACTTACAGGCATTTCATCGATTGTGGCAGATTGACCAAGTCCGTATTATACACTTTGAAATTTTTCTATAAAAGTATTGAATATAAATGAAATAGCTGCAGTTGGATCATCTTTTTTGCGTTCCTACCTGTCTTCAGGATTGGCGAATCGGATAGCAAGTAAAAGAACAGCAAATCTTTATTTGCTCATGACTGCTTTGAAGATTTCTCTTCCAGTTCCATCTATTGCAAATAAACGGTATATATTTTCGTGACTGGAGTTGAAAATGGCAGTGTAAACAAGGAATCCCAGAAATGGTCTTAACTTAATAACATCCACTTCTCTAAGATGATGGATATAACTAGCAGAATATTTATAACGCATTGATCGTAATTTTGTGTTTGTATTTTGAACAATATGTTGTAGAATGTTATTAGTAAACAACATATTCCAAACAAATGAGGGTATTGCAGCCTCGCCGAGCATTTTTGCCTTTGTTTTTAGTATTAGCATTTTTATGACAATGTTATGTTGACGTATTCTAGATGAGGGGATAACTTCTGAAGTACACCACCTGTGTAGATTTTTAACATAAACATAGTTTTTGTCACTATCACTTACTGCTAATTCATCACAATCTGCAGGCCCGTCAGAATCAGAAAATTCCGAACATGTATCGTGTTCAGATTCAATGGTATGATCTTCCGAAATATCGTCTATATCATTGTCACTATCACACTCCTCATTGTACCACTTTAAAAGAGTTGTTTCATAATCATCATCGTCGAAACGCACTCGTTTTGATGGCCCGGCCATAATTTCTAAAAATGTACGCTACACAAAAAAGTCACACCAACAGTCCGGTGTCGTCTGAGGAACTACTCTCGACCTAATTGTTGCGATAACTTTTTAGGAACTAAGAGAAACTTGTCGCAAATACACCCAATTGTCAAACTCCAATAGTTTAAGGATTAGATAGAAGGACTTGCTTGTGGGCGGTACCAATTTCCAATAAAATATAATTAAAAATATGGAATCGTCTATCTGACGACGCCGGACTAGTTAAGAGTTAAAAGTACATATATCTTGTTGCAATTTTCAAATCGTTTTTAAATAGTAAATTTTTGTCATCTGTCTTAGTTAAGAATTTTACAGAGAATTTTTTAAGACAGGCTATTGACGAGGTAGGTTATCTTGACTAATTAATAGTATTGTGAATCTTGGTATATTAAAGTCTCATGGCAATTCACTGGGGTATTTATTACATTGCAGATGGTTATAAACGCAGAATTATTGATTTTGGGGGTAATTGTTAGTAGAACAACTGTATTTTAAATATATCTGCGTTATAATGATTGGCCTACGGACCAATTACTGTACCAATTTTGAATTTTAATATTTATTATAATTTAGGTGTTTTTATCCTACTTTGGTCCAACACAAGATATTTCATGCATGTTTTCTTAATTTTAATGGCAATAACCAGTAGTTGGCCGATTGCCAATCACTAAACGACAGGGTGGCCAATAATTGTAATCTGTATAAGGATGTAATTTTTGCTTGGATTACTATTTCTAAAATTATAACATTTTTAAAATTAGTATCAACGTGAGAAACTCAAATCAAATTTAAATTGTACGTCTTGTAGCTAACATTAGTACTTTTAAAGGAGTTTTATTTTTACATTAAAAATGTTAAAAAAGAAAAATGTATTACAAAAAAATATACAGAACAGGAGCTTTAGTCCATATAAAA